AATATTGTTTAACAGTGAGATAATTAAACCTCACAATCTTTCTTATATTATTTTAAGTAGCTGTAACTTTCACCTCCCCCTAGGTCTCCTCCAAGTAATAAAGGCAGTGACCCTCACCTTGGCTGCTGCTATTCTTGGCTGTGAAAAGCTGAGTTAGCCCTTTTCCATTATAGCACTGGTCCTGTGGTCCTTTTGAGCATGACCACAAATACAGTGCCCTCCAAAGGTATTTGGACAGCAAACTAGCAAAACTAGAACTGTAACTTTTGCTTTTTTGCTAAGCGGTTTGTACATGTCATCGTGAGATCCATACGGATGATTAGTACAGTACGTTTTATTTTGTGTACATTTGATATTCAGAACAAAAGCATGCTAGGTGTTCAACTTGGTGATTTCAAATCCCAAAATACAATGCACTTAGATCCAAAATATGTTGCACTTCACATTTATATCAGCATTATGCTAGTTCAGAATTCATTCTATTGGTGCTGTCATTGGTTACAGCATCAATATTCAATAAGGACATTAATAATCAATCAACATCAGTAAACGTAAGTGAGCCAGTTCCAGCGACGCCATTTGGAATAAAATATTCTGGACTGCTGAAACCGAGAAAAACCTTAAACCGAGAAAAGTTAGTAGGCGTGTGGAGAAAGATAGGAACTACACATGCTCCAAAGAACACCACCTCATCCAAGAAGAATGATATGCATGGTTTGGAATTGGCTCATTAGTCTTTATTGATGATGTGTTACATGATGGCAGCAGAATGAGTCCAGAAGTTTACAGAAAAATGATCCACTGACTTTGAAGAACATGCTTCCATAGTTATTGGGCTGTGCTTCACCATACAGAGCGGCGATGACGCAAAACTTCAGTTTTGATGGCAAAAAGTGGAAAAAGTCACCTCCGGGTGTAGATCCAATTGAGAATGTTTTTTACATACTGAAGAAAAAAATAGGAACGCCCCAAGAATGAGTAAGAACTCAATATGGATGCAGCAAAGAGTGGATTACACAAAGAGTGTGGTGAGCTATTTGAGGTACACAATTAAAAACAGATAAAACAGATAAAAAGCACAAAGTCAACAGTTTAAACTTTGTTGCCCCAATTCTTTTGAAGATCATCGTACATTTACCATTGTATTTGTGTAAGGATAGGCGCCTAGTTTGGAGAGGTTAGATCAAGAGGAGTACCTCTTCAGCTTGCGAGCTGGGACACCTGGAAGTGAATTGCCTGAAGAAGTTTCAACAGCCATACTGTATTTTGCCTTTTTTACTTTACACTTAATTTTTAACCTTTACTTGTTCCTCCTGAGCAAGTGGTTTCTGTGTTTCCATTTTCATCTCAATGTTAGCGGTTTGGACGGTACATTGTGATGAAGCGCATAGATGCATTTTTTTTTCTTATGCGCGGTTTTGCGTTTCCTGCTACTTCTCTTCATTTCTCCCGAAACTCAAAAAAATGTTAAGAAGTCTGTAAAATAGAGAAGGTTTAGAAACTCTGCTTAAGAGGTTAAGAGGAGGTCTGGCTCGCATGTCTGGTGGTTAGAGATGCAATGTTCCAAGATAATTCCTCAAACGTCTAGAATGGTCTCACTGACTTATCTGCAGTATTACTCAGCAATTTGTCCCAGACACCCGAATCCCAGTGTGCAGAGAAGTGCTTCTTGTTTTAAAACCTGAGTATAGCTGCACTTAATTTTTGTTTTGAGTCTGAAGAAAACATTTGGGTTAATTTTGGTAATCTTTTGAGAACTTCAGAACACCCATTCTTAGATGTCTTTAAAATTGTCTTCCTTGAAAAGGTCACACAGATCATGCTAGTTAAAATTTCAAGGATTCTTTACCATGCTCTTGTATGTTTTTTATAATGTCGGTAGTCTGAATTTAAGACAAAACAGGGACATTCATTTTGAGAGGTGTGTTAAATTGCCATAGAATGGAGTAACTTTAAATGAAATACTGCAGTGTTTTTGTGAAATAAAGTGAAATGTGTTTAAAAACATTGCGAAGTATGTGTGCCTAACTAAAACTTCGATAGTAAGCGCCGCAGACCACAGCCAACAGGAGAACCAAGATTAATAATATTCAGAGCTTTGTGATGTAATGACTCACTCAGATTTGAGCTTGGCAAGTTTCGGATATCGATCTCTTGCCCTCCCTACCCTCCCTGCTTTCTTGGGACAGAATGAACATAGTAGCTGGATATGTTCCAGGTTTTGCAAGCAGTGGGGTGCTCTATGGAGGCAAAACCAGGTGACTGTATATTAAATGCTTGTTACCTTGTTTTGTGTAGGTGTTTGTAGACGGTACATTTAATAACATTACATATGTAATAATGTAATGGCGTTTTATGTGCTGTTCATTTTTAACGTAACTAGCTCAATTCCCGCAAATGTCTGCTGCTTGTTAAGTCTGTGTCTGTCAGGCAACGGGGGGAATGATTTCTTCCTGCGTGTACTCTTTCTTTAGCCAGCAAGCATCTTGATTTTGTAATATTTCCCCCCCCCCTTTTCCAAAGCTAGCAATCACAATTATGCATTCCCTCCAGCAGAGCATTGATTGTACCTCTGCCACTCAAATGTTGCATCACTGGTGTTGCAGAGCTTTCTGTCAGCGGAGTTGCTATCTAGGGCTGTGCCTTCCATTAGGATTCCTCTCACTGTTGCTAATCTCTCCTAACTCTGCTACAAAGCCCTGCCTGATGATTGAAGGAGTTTTGTGTTTTAGCTCGGCTGCAATGCACTCAGGCTGAATGGCAGCACAGATCTTTGCCCCAGTTTGTCTTTTTGTTCTTAGTGCAAATCTGTCAGCCTCCCCCTCCCCTCTCAACCCCCCCCAAAGCTTCTCTTACGACGGAAGAAAATAACATGGCCTCCAGTTATTGATGCCTGCATTTTGTGACTGCTGTGGAAAAAATGTTTCTGCCTCGCAGTCAAATATTGCTCAGAACAGGGGAACCCAAATTCTTCTTAATAGGGCACCCTATTTTAAACTTTTTTTTATCTGAAAGGCAGACTTTCCCTAATGTAAAGTGGCCTGGTGACAAAATGAAATACTAGACCTTTTAGCACTCTTAATAAACAATTAAATTAACTGATGGAAAGTGATTTTCCGATCATAGGTCATTATGATGAAGGCACTGGCTGAAGTGTGTTTTTACAACAGATTTTTTTTTCTGTTCACCAGCTCTTCAGTGTTGCCGAGCTCACCGTTGTAAATTGTATGATGTTAGGCTTTTGTGTTAAGGAATCTTTCTGAAGACCCCACTGGAGCAGCCATTGCATAAAAGATAACTACATGGAGTTAAATTCTAGTAATGGAGGAACACAGGGGGCTTGCTCTTTATTCTGTCCAGACTTACTTTTGTCTGTGATTGGCATGATTGATTAGGACTTTGTTTCTTGGGCTTATTTTTGTAAGGCCTACCTGGGATGGGAAACAGCCTGTCTTTTTGCTGATGTGTAATCCTGCTGAGAGAGGAACTAACAGCAGCTCTCTAATTGCTGTCTGAACTGAGTCGGGGCGAGACGGCCTAGCAGTGTGGGCTGAACTGCACCTGAACTGCGACCTTTCTCAATATGATCTTCATCACAATTTCCATACACAGCAAGAACAAGCTGCGATGCGCTGTAGACTCCAGATGTCAGCTAAGGATTCAAATAGAATCTTTAATTACCTGAATTGATTACAGGCTGCCTGCTTAGAGCAGCAAATGTGTGTGGTGATTGCGTGCCGCCTTGTAGGGGAAATTGACCTCTGAGGTGTTTCAAAATAAAAAAATATATATATGGACAGTTTTAAGGAGGAACGTGCTTCCTCATTTTCACGGTGTACGGATACCGTAAGTGACATGGTGCGTAGAAACTTTGAGTGCTGCATTTAGATCAAAGGCAAATGAGCTAAACTTTCTTTCCATAAAAAAAATCCACCCTTTATGCACCATTTCGCACCACATCCCCTTTAAATTTTCAGCGCCGATCCGATAAGGTAGATTAGCCAATATAAATATTTCTGCTGCCGAGCATTTCCTTATTCTCCCTCATTTAGACCTGGGGCAGAGGTTTCTGTCATGGATGGTTTGGCCTTTTTATATTGTAAAGCCCTCCGCTGACCAGCCTCCATTTACCCTCGAGAACAGCTGTGAGCACCGAGGTAAGCTTGTAATTTGATGTGTGCTGCGATTTTTATTACCACCTTATAAAAGCAGACTTCAGTTTCATTAGATTCAGAAAGCTTTGCTGGATCCTTAGCTGCAGTATTTATGCAAAATCCGTTTTCACACTGTGGTCGTGCTGAAATCCATTACAGTAGTAGGACTGCCTCCAGACACGAAAATCAATAGTGCTTTGTTAGCAACAAGGCCATCAAGTGCTTTCTGCCTTGGTTTGCTGGGATGGATTAGACCTCTGTGAAATAAGGTCCACTTGTTGTGCTTGACTTAGCACGATCCTTATCGCCTTGACGCGATCGTGTCTTTGCCTGCGGCCATTATTTCCTGACTAATGCGTCATTCCTCATTGCTTTAGCGGTGCTCAGTGTCTTGTTTAAGTGTAATTAACCGACAATTGTGGATTGAATAAGGCTGGAATTTTGGGTCTCTAAGGCAGTTCGGAATCAATGCTGCATAAGCTGTTTGAAATGGCTGAAAGTTTTCATAGTGTCCACCTGCGCTTCTGTGCGCTGAGCCAGCACTCCTCGGTTAGGTTTTAAAAACGCCAATTTTAATATGGTGGTGACCACTGACAATTTTAAGATGAGGGGTGGAATGTACCTGTCACACCGCCGAATAATGTTTCTACATGGATAGATAGCTGTTTATTAATTATCCTTGAAGCACTCTTAAGTTGTTTAAGAAGTCGTATCGAACAGTAAGAGCCACTCAGTTCTGGGGTTCAGAGAAAAAAGGCTTTTTATGTCCGAGACCCACGTGAGCAAAGGGAGGCCTGTATTAATACCAGCTGTTACTTACACTGTTTTCTTGGTTGGCTGTTGTAGGTGGTGCTGAAGATCATCAAGCACTACCAAGAGGAAGGACAAGGCAGTGAGGTGGTTCAAGGCGTCCTGCTGGGATTGGTCGTGGAAGACCGTCTGGAAATCACCAACTGCTTCCCTTTTCCGCAGCACACCGAGGACGATGCCGACTTTGACGAAGGTATTACCAGTGTCGGAGTTGTTTAAGAGAGAGAGAGAAAATACTTTTGAGGGCCTGCTCGTACATCCTGAGTCAAGTTTCTTGCGTGTCTGCAGAAACGCCTCAGTTATAAGGCCTTTCGTTATGAATGAACCACTGTTGATGTACACATGTTAATCACAACCTTCTGGAAGGTTTCAGACTCTTCCTCATTTGAAGAGTTACCGATTTTATTAATTGGTATTTTTGAAGTCCAGTCCATCAGAACTCCCATTCTTAGTACACACACTGAAGAGGTTGAATTGCCCCTTTTCACTTTTCCCTTCTTAAGAAGGGAGGAGAACTGAGAAATGCAGCTGTTTGCGTTTGTACTAGGCTCTAGTCTGCTCTAGGTTCTTGAAGACTTACTGATTAAAATGAATGTCTCATGTCTCCCTTCTGCCTTTCCTCATTTAAGGACTACAGAACCCATAAAAGAGGAGGGTAAGGTGCATTTGATGTGGGTTTAAATCAGTGGGATTTACCTGGAGAACATCTATGGAAAACTGCAATGTAAATTATTTGTGAAAGTACAGATTATGATTAACTTTAGTTTCTTGTGGGGAAAAAAATACCCGCCGAGTTCCTTTCGATTATCGAAAGAGCAGAATTAAAATAGAATCTGTATGTGTATCCAAAAGCAAGACACGTGACAGCAAGGAATTATATGAAGCCTGCTGTCTGTACCCAGTCAACCTCATCCCCTTCAAATGCTTTGGTATTCTTCTGTCACAGATTTGAGTGTTGCATTATGCACTTCACCATTAAACCGATGCAGAAGTGGTGTTTGGAAAGGACTGCTAGTATATTTGTTTGTTTTTCCAAGCGCCACTGTAATCCTTATGGACGTGCACCTAAACTGCTCTCTCAGTCTCTCTAAAGACTCCCGTCAAGGCTGTATCAAGCAAGCTGGGGAATCAATCTTGTGACCTTAGAATTGAACGTGTCTGTGCTTAACCAACCGACTGGCATGTGCTGTTACTCGAAAGTGTAGTAACAATTGGTGCTTATTTATAAACAGGTGCACAGGGGTTGTTTTACGCTCTCCTGAACAACAAAGCTACAGTTATGCAATAAGGTCAACAGTCAGAAGCTTTAAGTAATGCATCTTTTGATTTAAAAAGGTATTTAAAATCAAAAAGAGCCACAAACCAATTCTGGAGCAACAAGCTTTTCTTTGGATATCAGTGTCATCTATGATATTCAAGTAAGTGTTTTACTTGGAATGCATTTCCTAAATTATTCCGTTAACTTCATGTACCGTGTCGTTCTCTAAAAAGTGTTGTTCACGCTTCAGAGCACTTGGAGGTGGTCAGATTTAACTGTGTGCGCAAGAGTTAATTGTTCTCATTGTTGTAGAGTTGCATAAAGGTGCCCGGGATAGGTTGCTAATTATATGCAACAAATTGAAATAAGCTATTTACCATAACAAAAAACATAGGGATCAATTAGTGCAAATCAAACATACGGGAGTATGCTGGCTCTGTAATCCTTTTGGATGTATAGTCCTCCCTCATTACTGCACACTTTCTGGGAGCTGTGTGTATTGTGTAGTATAATGAGGTGCGTGTGTGCGCACTTCAAAAATTATTCTTAATAAGATTTTTTTTGTTGCCGGTGCCAAAGGCATTTCAATGATTTATCTGAAATAGTATAATTGCAGTGTGAAATATGGTGCCTTAGTTTTTACAGCTTCTTCAGATGTGTTTTATCTGAAGTATCTAGGTTAAATTCGACTACAGCTAATGTGCAGAAAGCATAGCATTTGATCAGATCATTGATGTTTTCTTTTTGTCTAAACCCAGGACCACAACATCTTCAGTGCTTCAGGTCTTTACCATGCCAGATTTCCTTCCTACTAGTAAAACCAAGAAAGTCACAGAGCTGTTAAGATGGATTTTACTCTGAGGGGAAAAATATTAACTAGTAGTTGGCCAAGGTTTTCCTACTCCTATTCGTCACTGCTAGAGATTAATTCTGATCGTGTCCTGCAATATTAAAACGTGAACTGAATGCTTTCCCCTATACAAATATAAAGGCAAAAACAATGTAAACAGCTCTTTGACATTTCGGGTACATTCTAAAGCAGAATGGAGCAGAACCTATGCTTGTTGTCTTGACTAAAGCTGTAGAGGAAATATGTTAGTGTTTGACCTTGAGCACACTGGCATGAACTGTAGGTCCCCCAGGGTTCAGGAAAGCTAAATCTTTAAATTCAACACAGTACTGGCTGTTTGAGTGAGGAGGATATGGTCTCATGTTTTTTAATAAAGACGGAAATCTACTGTGTTAAAAATAGTGAACGAGTGAATCGCAATTCTTGTCGTTCTTTGTTCCTTGTGAAATTTTCCTCCAGCAGTTTTGGTCAGTGTTATTCTGTGTTTAGACAGTTAGCAAGTCAGACAAGTCAAATCTACATGGAAAATATCCTGTGCTAGGTGTACCACATTTATTTAAGCAATTGGGCATTTGACGAGCTTTGTAGTGATGACTATAAATGTAGTAAGCTAATCTGTGAATTTATAAGAAAAAAAACAAGCAATTCTTCAAGCCACAACGCTTTTTTCACAATATGTTTGCTAAACACTTCACCTCCTTCACATCGCTGACTCTGTCAGAGGTAGTTAAATCTGATATAACTCACACTGCACCACCATAAACTGCGAAAGACTTTGGTGTCAGTGCCTAGAACATCATTAAATTTGCTCAAACTTTTTTCTATCAAGCCTAAAAAGCTGGTTTCCCATTCACACTTTATTGATCACAATGGTGAGGTTTTTGTGGTGTCAAAGGTTGCTGGTTCCTACAGCTATCAAGGCTGACTCCTGTTTTTTCATCTGCCAAGTGCTCGCTAACTAGAGATTTGAGAGCATTTCACAACTGGAAATTGCATTGCCAAGCCAAACAAACAGACCTTTTTTTTTGGATCTTTTCAGGATGTATGTTGTTCCCTTCATATGAGTGTCCTTGCACAAGACAGTGTACTCAGGGATGATACAAGAGCATAATTCACAAGTTGGAAGTGGGTTTCGCACAATAAGCCAGTGCTAAATGGATTCATCAAGCCTGTCTTAAGGCTCTTTAGGACAGTTACGGGCTTGAGTAAGCACTAAATTACCTCCTTAGTGAGAGTTATTGGGCACAGGTGATTTTACCTATTGAATGTCAAGAAAGAACATAGATAGGAACCCATTTGTCAGGTGTACAGCGTTTTTGTACCATCTGTACATTGACGGCTCAACTAAGTCAGCAGTATCATTTGCTATCTGGCTCACAATGAGCAGTTTGTAACCTGGTAGGATGTTATAGCCATCCATTGCCATTGTCAGTGGATAGGCCATAGTCTGGTAGATAGCCACCAAGATTGATGGCATCATGTTCAAGTCTTTGTGGTTATTTGTTTTTGCTTCCATTTCCACTGCATTAGAAACACTGGGTCTCAAAGGCAGTGGTTCAGTAGTTCTCATGTGCAAACCAGAAGTCCATACAGGGGCCCTGTGTTTTTTGACATCACTGAATGAAGACATGTGGATGTTGCCTCCGGTGGGCTCACCAGCAAGAGAGTCTCTACGAATGAATCAAGTCCTTGTGTCGACTAAATGTTTACGTACAGTAGACGAGTCGAATGGGAGGTGCTAGTTTGATGATTTGGACAGGAGTTTCTAGTCGGCATAGAACTCAATTTAGATTAATTGATGACAACCAGACTGCACGGTGCTTCATTAATCAAGTGTTGAGACCTCTCTCACTGCCTTTTCTGCAAGATTATTCCAATGCCACAGGAAATTGATGCACTGGGAGCAGTCTTGTGCTGTTCCTACAACAACAGCTTTCTTGAACATGAGATGTGTGGATGTCCTACTGACCAGAGCCAAACTGAATCTTTCTGGGGTGAGCTGGGATGAGCTGGAAAGGCCTGTGGCAGCTAGGGTTCAAGGACAGTGAACAGAAACACTTTTTCTAATAGCCTGCAGCTGCTATGACCATGCCTGACCGGCAAAGGAGGCTGGTGGAAGATCTTTGTGTGAAGGATTTTCCTGTGCGAAGGGACAAGCTGTACAGACACTTGTTACTGTCACGAAAAACATCTGAGGCTGAATAAGCCTACTGCTGTCTCGCATATGTGGCAGTCTGTAGGACAGATCAAAAGATTAACTCCAAATGTATTGATCCTAGAATACCAGCCATTTAGGACACTTAGAGGAGATGTTTTTAAAAGTATAAAAGGTGCTTGTGAAGAATGGTAAGCAGGGAGGGAGAGAATCGATGTGGGCCTGGTCTCTGTAAAGGCCTCTTAGTTATAATATAAACACCTTTTCAAATCTTCACTGAACTGCACTGTGACTCTTTGCATGTCCACACTGGAGTCTTGTACTGTGACTTGTGCCATTAATGCATCCATCTCTGGCACGTTTAGAGACAAATGCTTTTCTTCTACTTGCTTTTGTTTTCCTCACGTTGTCTGCCTTGACTTCTGGATGCCCTTCTTCTTTTGTCTGTGGCAGAGATCCATTTTTTCTTCCCCCCACCCCAGAGCTGCTACCTGTTTCTGCTTGTTTTGTGGATGCAAAAACATGTAAAAGAGTGCATTGTGGAAGAAGTCATGAACAAAAGCCCTGTAATGTATTCCTGTCCCTACTTTACATTAAATTTTTGTGTTATTGCTTTCCTTGTTTTATGTATTGGGAATGATAGCTTCTAATACCAAGAAGGAAGGTAAGGGGAATTGTCATGTCCTTAAAGAGAGTCATAGGTCAAAATACATAAAATATTCATTCTGTTGTGAGTTGTCTGCGTTTTCTTTTCAAATGCAGCAAGCACCAAACAACTTCAGTTGCTGTAAGCCACTATGTGATCGATAAAAGGCTTGTTCCAGTGGAAGAACATCAATTCAAGCCAAGCAGGATTCTTTATGGCTAACCAGTTTATTAAACTAGCTTGCCTGGAGACAGGGGCATGTTTTTTAAACTGCAGAGTAAATG